TGGAGTTTCTAGAAGGTAGTAAGGGAAAGACTGTATTCATAACCATAAGAAAAAGATTGATAAATTGAACTTTTATAGTTACAAATGGGACTCTAGCCCTTGGTGTCTTTGCAGAGGGCTTTTTGGACTTCTGAAAATCCATTTCTGCATTATTGCCAGTGTTTGTCTGGCTTTGGATTCTTTCCTCATGCTTTACTTTTTTTCCAGTTCTCCTAGATGAGCAGTATCAGTCATAGTTCTTTTAATAACCTTGCTTGTTAACTCCAATGTCTGGCTAATTTATGGGCCTGTTCTGTAGTCTTTTTTCCCTTTTTGGGGTGGAAGAGGGGATTTTAAAGGGCCTCATTTGGTCCTATCTGGTATTGATTAGATGCACGACACTGTATGTAAAAAAGCTATAGAGACTTTATTTTATTTTTCATTTATTTTTATCAGGCTATAGAGACTTTAGATGGTGTTATTTTCTTTCAGGGCTGGTGGGGGGGTGGTGAGTATAACTCACTTGTGTCTGACTCTTTGCAACCCCATGGACCATAGCCCATTAGGCTCCTCTGTGGGATTCTCCAGGCAAGAATACTGGAGTGGGTTGCCATTCCCTTCTCCAGAGGATCTTCTCAATCCAGGGATTGAACCCGGGTTTCCTGCACTGCTGGCAAATTCTTTACCATCTGAGCCACCAGGAAAGGCTTACATTTTCTTTTAGAGAGGATTTAATTTTTTAGAGAGGATTTTTCTTTTGACAGGCAGAGTATGTGCAGATCACCTTGATGGAGTTGTGCTGGGTTTCAGGCTTTGCTAAGGTTGGTCTCTTTCTGGTTTTCCCTTACTGCTAGTCTGTAGCCACTTGGGGGCGTCATCTGAAAGACTTGACTGGGACAGTTCTATCATCGTAAAGGGCCTCAAATCCAGCCTTTGATTCCCAAACTGCAAGAGGTTGTTAACCTCTCGGATGAGCTCTTTGCGCTTATAGCTACTTTTTGCTTCTTTCTGTAGTATTTGAGCTCATTTGTGTACATTTTGGGAGTTGGCAAATATCCTGAGGGGAAATAACGCACAGATTTTGAAACTTTTCTATTTATTTCTTTTCAGGATCTTGTCCTTTCAAGTCTTGGATGCTTTGGCAGCTCCAGAGTCTAGATCTCTGTTTTCTTAGCTTGATAGAATATTGCAGGCTCTGCCTTTATTCTGCTCTGCTAGGACTATTATATACCATTTTTTGTATATAAAATAAGCAAGTACACGATATACACACAAAGATATGCTTTTCTCTCCACTTCTTTCTTAAACTAATTGCACCTTGCTGTTTTCAATTAACATAATCTTGAAAGTCCATACGTATTCAAAGGTATCTTCCTTACTTTTTTACAATAACACAATACTCCATTGCTTAGATGTAGTACAGATACTTTAAAGTTGCTTTTTCATCAGGTAATTTATGATCATATTCTTTTTCTGTGATTTCTAAGAATTTTAATAAGAGGACTTTTATTTGCTTTTGTTTTATAATATCTATTAGTTCTTTCTCCAGTGTAAAAATGAACTGTTGCCCTAGACTGGAAAGAGGAAGAGAAAAAATCTATAATTGTTCTGAGATTTTTTTTTAAATTAATATATTTTTTACTTATAACTGTTCCAATTTTATAGTTTCCAATCTTTGCCCTTGGGAGTAACATTAGAGATCATTTGGCTAATAAAGTCTTAGACTTGTCAAAATCAAGTGGTACTTGTATTCAAACCTGATTAAGAAGGCGAAACTTTCACAAATTTTATTAGCTTGAACTTAGAATAACTTTCCTGGTCTACTCCTAATTTAACTTCCATAACCATCTACCTCAGTATGCTGTGTACTATTATTAGTGAGAGAAGCAATCTATTCTGGAAGCTTTTCCCCTTCATCCTGAAAGAGCTGAAATTCTAAAAGAAGCCAGATTCCTTGACTTTCCCACTTGACAGATCCTCAAAAATTGTAAGTTCTAGATTTTTATGACCCAGATGGATAAAAACATTGATGTTATTCACCTTGCTTATCTAATCCTTCTCAAGCGCTTCTGACTTGATCCAAGGTCTGGAGGGATGTTTGTTTCATGGAAATACTCTCTTCTTTTTTTTGGCTGTGCTACATGCCTAGCGGGATCTTGGTTCCCTCCACCAGGGCTTGAACCCAGGCCCAAGGCAGTGAGAGCACCACGTCCTAGTCTTTGGACTGCCAGGGAACTCCTGAAATACTGTAATTCATAGTTTCACAAACTCCTTCTGTAAAGGGTTTGATAGTAAATATTTTAGGCTCTGCAGGCCACATGATCTGTTACAGCTTTCAGCTCTGCCACTGCAGCATGAAAGCAGTCATATATAATACCTAAATGCATGAGGGTGTGAGCTCCAGCAAAACTTTATTTACAAAAAAAAGATATTGGGTTGGGTTTGGTCAGTGCGTCACAGTTGACAAATTATAGTTAACTGGAAGGGAAAGCAGGAGGATCTTTGTGAGACGTATGGCACAAAATCTTACTTTCTGGAAGAGGCTAGAGTAGATTTGAAGTTTTCAGTGTATTTCTCAACGTTTAAAAAATTAGACTTATGTACATATTTCTTAATATACCACAAAGCAATCATTGCTTTATCTACTGTTCCTCAAATTATACTTACTACAAAAAAAAAAGCCTGATAGAAAATAAAGAATACTGGGAAATCTTTATTTTGAAATTTAACTTTGTAACTCAGACTTATTTTTCTTTATTGTAGCATAGTACAGAAAGAATTTTTATTATGAGAGAAAGCTTTGTTTTCATTTGTAAACTTTTCTTATTAGTTGTTTGATTTTTTAGAAGAAGGATAAAGCCATGAACTTTGTGAGCTTTATTTTATATGTCAGTAAACCAGATAGAATATTCTAAGAAGAGTTAGATGGGTTAGCTAGCTCTGATGTCTAAGTTTTAGAAGACAAATAGTAAAATGAATTAATTTTAGAATTTAGCTTCAGTAACATCCTTTGTTACATACATTTCATCTTTATAGCCAAATAGCCACATAAAATTTTTTACTTTATCTAGAGTTTAAAGTCATTTTTCTTCCCAATTTTCTCAAACCCTCCCAAGTTGTAACTATAGTTACTTTACTTAGTTCTGACCAAAAACAGCAAACTTAAGAACAGTAAGGTGATTTGTACGTGACAGAGTTCAAACCTTTTGACATATAGATTTTTAGGTTTTCCTCTTCTCTGAAGTATACAGAATGGGAGAGTCATCCTTTGTAGGACATTGCACCCACCTTCATAGATGACATTCTCTTGTCTTCTGTCACAGATGTCTTTGCTACTTAACACAGATTGTCAGAATTAATATTTAAAATTAGTACTTTCAAACTGATTTAAACTCTTTTGGCTTTATGCTGGTAATATTTTCCTCTCTCACTTAGCTCATTAGAATAAGAGAATTAACTTTATGATCTGTATACTTAAGGATTAAAATTCATCTCATTCGTCACCAAATACTATTTTCTTATCTTCCTGCTTGAGGAATGGATGTGTACTAATAATTCAAAATTTTCAGTAATTCATAAAATCCACATCAAAATTTCTATTTGAGTCAGTATTGTTTTCAGTCTTAATTTCTTGGGTTTACTTATCTAATACTTAGTTTAGATAAGTAAAAATTTCCACAAGTTTTAAAGTGTGGTATTTTATAGATTTTTGAAATAGATGGCAGCTTGTTTGGTCAAAACTCTGGAGAGGGAACTTCCTTGTTGGTCCAGTGGTAAAGAATCTGCCTTCCAGTGTAGGGGACATGGGTTCGATCCCTGGTCAGGGGACTAAGATCCCACATGCCACGAGGCAGCTGAACCTGGACGCCCAGTTAGAGAGCCTGAGCACCCAGCTCCTGAGCCCCGGTCCTGCAGAGCGCCTGTGCTGAGACTCAAGTCAGCCCGCAGCCACAACGAGCACCCAGCGTGAACGAGGCACAGACCTCAGAGAGAGCAGTGTGTCTCTTCTCAAAGTGCGGAGAGAGTCTTGGTTTTTTTGAATTTTCATTGAAGTGTAGTTGATTTACAATGTTGTGTTAGTTTTAGGTGTACTGCCAAGGGAGTCAGTTATACATATATCCCCCCTTTTGTTTTTTTAGACTCTTGACAAATAGTCCATTACACAGTATGCAATTGAGTACCCTGTGCTATACACACGGCAAGTTCTTATTATCTGTTTCACATATAGCAGTGTGTATATGTCAGTCCAAATACCACCCCCAGCCCCCAGCCCCTAGTAACCATAAGTTTGTTTTCTCCATCTGTGACTTGACTTCTGTTTTGTAAATATGGTCGTTTGTACCCTTTTGTTTAGATTCCACATAGAAGCAACATCATATGATATGTTTTTCTCTGACTTAACTTCACTCAGTCTGACAGTCTCTGGTCCATCCATATTGCTGCAAATGGCATCATTTTGTTCTTTTTATGGCTGAGTAATACTTCATTGTATATATGCCCCACACCATTCCTTTGTCTGTGTATATTTAGATTTCTTCCATGTCTTGGCTGTTGTAAATAGTGCTGCAGCAAACATTGGGGTGCATATATATTTTTAAATTATGGTTTTCTCTGGGTATATGCCCAGGAGTGGGATTTCTGGGTCATATGATAGTTGTAGTTTTGGTTTTTTGAGGAACTTCCATACTGTTCTCCATAGTAGCTGTACCAGTTTTTACATTCCCACAAACAGTGTAGGAGGGTTCTCTGTTGCAGAGAGTATTTTTTAAAAATAAAGGATATGTTTCTAGAGTTATAACTTGAGTTATAAAGAATTTTCATTTCTTTGCATTTTTGGAGTGTAAATAGAGTTTTGAAATGTATTAGGCCTTTTTCAAGTTAACATACGGGTGTATGTTCATTTAAAGATGTGCTATTTTTTAAAAATTGTACAGATTATATTCCTTGCTACTGTTTCAGCTTCTTTTCATAATGAGAAAATTAGAATTAATCATTGTTTGGGGAATACATATATTTGACAGAATTGGAAGAACAGACTCGAAAAGCTCTAGAATTGGACCAGGAACGAAAACGAGCAAAAGAAGAAGCAGAAAGGCTTGAAAAGGAGCGTCGAGCTGCTGAAGAGGCCAAGTCTGCTCTAGCGAAACAGGCTGCCGACCAGATGAAGAATCAGGAGCAGCTGGTAAGGGAACCTGGGTTCTGTTAGGGAAAAAGAAAAATTGAGACAAAAGCATGGATAAAATCAGTCTCACAGTTTCAGACTATATATTCTCTGAACACAAATGCATCCTTCCATGCTTAGTGGCTCAGTCGTGTCCAGCTCTTTGTGACCCTTTGGACGATAACCTACCAGGCTCCTCCTGTCCCTCCTGTCCATGGGAATCTCCAGGCAGGAATACTGGAGTGGGTTGCCATCTCCTCCTCCAGGGGATCTTCCCGACCCAGGGATCAAACTGGCGCATCCCCTGTGTCTCCTGCATAGGTAGACTCCTTCACCACTGAGCCACCTGGGAAGCCCTCTGAACACAAAGGTGTTGGTTAAATGTGTTTTCAGCTCTCCTCACTATGGTATGTGTGCACTCACTGCAAAGACATACCTTTGTGAAAGTCATTCAGTCGTGTCCGACTCTTTGTGACCTCATGGACTATCCAGGCCATGGAATTCTCCAGGCCAGAATACTGGAGTGGGTAGCCGTTCCTTTCTCCAGGGAATCTTCCCAGCCCCAGGATTGAACCCAGGTCTCCTTCATTGCAGGTAGATTCTTTACCAGCTGAGCCACCAGGGAAGCTGAAATGTGAACTCCTAAAATACATTCAAATATCTTTTTATTTGAATGTATTTTAAAAGCAGTAAGTAGAATAACAAAGAAACATGAAAACTGTTTTCTGTATTCAGACAGAGGAATACCTGTCATCATAAAGGTAGTACCAGTGTAAAAGTAGACAGTTTGGAGGTTTCAGTATTTATTTACTGTAATAAATAAGTGATCAATATTGTGTAGCCACTGCCAGAAGTGTGTTGTACCCAAAATCAGCAGTAAAAATTTTGTTTGCCAGTGAGGACTAGTGAAATAAGAAAACAAGTTCAGATAATGGAGACTGGAAAAAAAAAAAGAAAAAACTTCTGTAAAATTAGGCGTACTATACTTTCTTTAAAGCAAACCAGAGATACAAGTAACTTAATGACAAAGTTTGGAAATGAGCCTAAACCTAGAAATAAAACCATAAAAGCTACATAGAGCCTGTAGCTAACAAAGGATACTGATCCACTTAGATTTTGTATAAGCTACTGGCGTGTTTTGCTTTAGACAAATGGCCATTATATATATTTTAAATTTTATATGATCATAGGTTGACTATAAGATGGGTCATGAATGGATTTTTTTGTGTGTATTTAGTGGACCTGCAAACGATGAGTATGCATGACACCTAGAAGAATTGGGATTTAAATATTGGTTTAGGTGTTTCCTTGCTGTAAAACAGGAGTAACTTTGTGTATATAGAATAATAGAAAAAACTCACTTTTTTTCCTTATGAGCTTATAATACAAATTAGATATTTATGATCTTAAAGAAATAGTTCCTTTTTTTTTTTTTTTTAACAGAAGGCTCTATGAGAAACATATAAAAAGAGTCCATGTGGGAATTCCCTGGCAATCCAGTGGTTAGGACTTTACACTTCCCCTGCAGGGGGCATGGGTTCTGTCTTTGGTGGGGAAACTAAAATCTGAAAAGCCACATGTCGTGTCCAAAAAAAGAAAAACAGTTCATGTATATTAAAGCTTTTTTGACTTAAATTATTGAAACTCTATTATGCTTCTTAATATTGGTAATTGTCTCATTTATTTTAGGCAGCAGAACTTGCTGAATTCACTGCCAAGATTGCACTTCTCGAGGAAGCCAAGAAGAAAAAGGAAGAGGAAGCTACTGAGTGGCAACACAAAGTAATCATTTGTTCATCACTATCATTTACCAAACACTTGATTTGTACCCAGCATATGCTGAATTTATAGAGATTAAGATACAGTCATGATTTAGAGGGGAAGAGATACCACTGTATGAATGTGTACATATTGTATTTTAATATTAATCTGGTGATAAAAGCCAATAACTACTTTGGGAACACAGAAATGTTAGATTCTGTAGGAATGAGGCAGGTGTTGGGGACACCCACCCTTGAAAGTTTAAGCTGGCTTTTGAATGACATTCAGTTTGGGGGTAGAAAAGATGGGAACTGAGGAGGTAGTCATTCCAGATGGTAGGAGTTGAGTGAGCATAGGAAAAATCTGATTTCAGGAACTTTTGAGAGTCGAGGCTAGAAAGTTAGAGAGGTTGTTAAGCTGTGAAAGGCTTTAAGTAAGCGCCCTGCCCAAAGGGAAGGTGCTGGGAAGTGTCTGTAGACTTTGGGCTCTGAAGGTTTCTAAACAACATTTGTACCGTGATGAAGCATGGTTTTATAAAAACAGCTTAGCAATCAGAATGATGGATGGATTAGGATAGTGGGCAGGATTGCTTACGAGCTAATGACTCACTAAGGATGTGGCATTGAGAAAAGAGGGACAGGAATTGTTGAAGGACATTTTTTGATAGATTCAAAGGGGCGTGGCAACCAAGTGATTGGCTGTAAAGTTGAACTAGAAGAATGTAATCAAATGATACTGAGATTTCTGAGTTCCAGTATGTGAAACCACTGTTGTCTGAAATGGCAAAAAAGTGAGAAATTAGGCTTTACTTGGAAGGGTGGGGAATATAGGATAGGAGAATTTAATTCAGACTTTAAACTTTTAAATGAAACTATAGTAATAATTTTTTACACTCAAAGGTATATAGTTCTGTGACTTTTCTACAACAACACATACTTATTGGCTAAAATGGTTTTCTTTCACTCTTAAATTTTCTTTGTAGCACTTTGGATTTCATAGGGGAGTTTTTTATATTGAGAGTTATGTATATATGTACATGTTGTTGTTTAGTCGCTAAGTCGTGTCTGACTCTTCTGTGACCCCATGGACGGTAGCCCTCCAGGCTCCTCTGTCCATGGAATTTCCCAGGCCAGAATACTGGAGTGGGTTGCTGTTTCCTTCTTAGGGGATCTTTCAGACTCAGGGATCAAACTCACATCTCCTGCATTGGCAGGCGACATGGGAAGCCCATATATGTACATAGAACTCCACAAGAGTGAAAGCACTGTTAACTTATTTGTTAACACTTCCTTTATTAGAATTGTATAGATCCCTGTTAGGAATGATTTATGAACTTCAGGGACACATAAACTTATAAAAATAATGTATCACAGAAATACATCTTGTGAATTATAGAATTTGGAAAATGCACATAAAAGAAAAACCACATTCCCACAAACTAGGATCAGTACTTTAACATCGCAGTGCATATCCTTCCAGGATCTTTTCCTATGTGCATATGTGTGTTGTTGTTCTTCAGTCACCGAGTTGTGCCCCGATGCTTTGTGACTCCATTGACTGCAGCATGCCAGGCTCCTCTGCTCCCCTGTCTCCAGGAATTTGCTTCAGTTCATGTCCATTGAGTCAGTGATGCTATCTAACCATCTCATCCTGTGCTGTCCCCTTCTCCTTCTGCCCTCAGTCTTTCCCAGCATCATGGTCTTTCCAGTGAGTTGGCTATTCCCATCAGGTGCCCAGAATATTGGAGTTTCAGCATCAGTCCTTACAGTGAATATTCAGGTTTGATCTCCTTGCTGGACTTTGAAGAGTCTTCCCCAGCACCACAATTCAAAAACATCAGTTCTAAAGCTGTCAATCTTCTTTATGGTTCAACTCTCACATCCGTACATAACTACTGGAAAAACCATAACTGAATACACAGACCTTTGTTGGCAGAGTGGTATCTCTGTTTTTTAATACGCTGTCTAGGTTTCTCATAGCTCTCCTTCCAAGAAGCTAAGTGTCTTAATTTCATGGCTGCAGTCACCATCCCCAGGGATTTTGGAGCCCAAGAAAATAAAATCTGTCTCTGCTTCCACTTTTTCACCTTCTGTTTGCCATGAACTGATGGAACTGGATGCCATGATCTTAGTTTTTTGAATGTTGAGTTTTAAGCCAGCTTTTTCACTCTCCTCTTTCACCCTCATTATGAGGCTCTTTAGTTCCTCTTCACTTTGTGCCATTAGAGTGGTGTCATCTACATATCTGAGGTTGTTGATATTTCTCTGGCAATCTTGATTCCAGCTTGTGATTCATCCAACCTGGCATTTCACATGATATGCGCTGCATACAAACTAAAATAAGCAGGGTGACAGTATATGGCCTTGTACTCCTTTCCCAGTTTTGAACCAATCTGTTGTTCCATGTCTGGTTCTAACTGTTGCTTCTTGTCCTGCATGCAGGTTTCTCAGACAGGTAAGGTGATCTGGTATTCCCATCTCTAAGAATTTTTCACAGTTTGTTATGATCCACACAATCAAAGGCTTTAGCATAGTCAGTGAAACAGAAGTAGATATTTTTCTGGAATTCTCTTGCTTTCTCCATGATCCAGTTAATGTTGGCAATTTGATCTCTAGTTCCTCTGCCTTTTTGAAACCCAGCTTGTAGACCTGGAAGCTCTTGGTTCATGTACTACTGAAGCCTCGCTTGAACGATTTTGAGCATTACTTTGCTAGCATGTGTAATGAGTGCAGTTGTGTGGTAGTTTGTACATTTTTTGGCATTGCCCTTCTTTGGGATTGTAATGAAAACTGACCTTTTCCAGTCCTGTGGCCACTGCTGAGTTTTCCAAATTTGCTGACATATTGAGTGCATGTATGTGTATACATGTATATTGGTATCGCTGAAGAATTGATGCTTTTGAACTCTGATGCTTTTGCACTGTCATGCTGGAGAAGACTCTTGAGAGTCCATTGGACAGCAAGGATATTAAGCCAGTCAATCTTAGAGGAAGTCAACCCTGAGTATTCACTGGAAGGACTTATGCTGAAGCTGAAGCTCCAGTACTTTGGCCATCTGATGTGAAGAGCCAACTCATTGGAAAAGACCCAGAATGCATGGAAAGATCGGAGGCAGGAGAAAAGGGTGACAGAGGATGAGATGGTTGGATGGTATCACCAATGCAATGGACATGAACTTGGGGAAACTCCGGGAAATAGTGAGGGACAGGGAAACCTGGCGTGCTGCAGCCCATGGAGTTGCAAAGAGTTGGACATGACTTGGTGACTGAACAACAGCAATACATTTGTATGTCCAGAGTGAGCTCATTCTGTACATACTGTTTCATTTTAGTCAGTTTTCATCTCATCTTAGACTATATTCAAAAGGTTTTCATTTAGATATAATTGACATATAATGTATTTTCAGGTGTATAATATGGTTCGGTATTTGTATCTGTTGTGAAATGATCATCATGGTAAGTCTTGTTAACACCCATCATCATATAGCTACAGAAATTTTCATCTTGTAATGTAAACTTTTAAGATTTGCTTTCTTAGCAACCTTGAAATATAGAGTATATTATTAACTATAGTTCATATTAGTCCATATAATACTGTATATTATATCCCCATGACTCATTTATTTTATACATGGGAGTTTGTACTTTTTAATTCCCTTTTCCCATTCCTCTTCCACTTTTGTTTCTGGTAACCATTGGTCTGTTCTCTGTATCCATAAGCTCAGTTTTTTTGTTTGTTTTTTTGGTTTTTTAGATTCCACATTTAAGTGAGATCATGTGGCAATTTGATTTTTTCTGTCTGACTTGTATTACTTGGCATAATATCCTCAAGGTCCATCTGTGTTGTTGCAAATGGCAATATTTTCTTTTTTTATAGCTGAATAATATTCCACTGTATATGTGTACTGGATGGAAATCCAGTATCTTAAGATTTTGGAAATCCAAAGTCTTAATATTTGAACATACTGTATTTATATTTATATTTGCATTGTATGGGGACTTCCCTGGTGGCTCAGCAATAAACAAGTCTGCCCACAATGCAGGAGACCTGGGCTCAATCCTTGGGTCAGGAATTTCCCCTGGAAAAGGAAATGGCAACCCACTCCAGTAATTCTTGCATGGACACTCCTACAGACAGGGGAGTCTCACAAGCTACAGTCCATGGGGTTGCAAAGAGCCAGACACAACTTAGTGATGAAAGAACAATACAGTATACATATACTGCCTTTTCTTTATCTGTTCATCTACTGATGGACACTTAGGTTTCTTCCATATCTTAGCTGTTGTGTAAATAATGCTGCAGTGAACATACTGGGGGGATGTATATTTCTTCTTGAGTTAGCATTTTGTTCCTGTGGATAAATACTGAGAAGTAGAATAGCTGGATTATATATAGTAGTTCTGTTTCTAAATTTTTTAAGGGATCTTCATACTCTTTTCCACAGTGGCTACACCAGTTTACATTCCCAGTGAAGGTGATCAAGTGTTCCCTTTTTTCCACATCCTTACCAACACTTGTTATTTCTTGTCTTTTTGATAATAGCCATTCTTACAGGTATGATGTGTTATCTCATTGTGATTTTGATTTGCATTTCCCTGATGATTAATGATGTTGAATATCTTTCCATGGGCCTGTTGGCCATCTCTGTCTTCTTTATAAAAAATGTCTATTCATATCATTTGCTTGTTTTTAAAAAATACTATTAGGGTTTTTTTTTTGTTTTTGTTTTTTTCTGTTGAGCTGTATGAATTCTTCACATATTTTGGGTATTAACACCTTATCAGACCTATCATTCACATATATTTTCTCCCATTTTGTATCCTCTTCATATTCTTGATATATATATATGTACATATATATATATTTTGCCTTTGCAAAGCCTTTTGGTTTAAAGTCGTCCCACTTGTTTGTTTTTGTTTGTATTGCTTTAGCTTTTCGTGTCAAATCTAAAAATTTACTACAAAGACCTATATCAAGGCACTTACTGTCTATATTTTCTTGAGAAGTTTTATGGTTTCAGGTCCTATGTTCAAATCTTTTGATCCATGTTGGGTTGATTTTTCTCTGTGGTGTGTGCTGTAGGTGTCCAGTTTCATCCTTCTGCATGTGTCTGTCTAGTTTCCCTTCTCCAATCTATATTCTTGACTGCTTTGTTGTAAGTTAATTAACCATATATGTGTGGGTATATTTCTGAGCACACAGTATTCAGAATTGACCCAAAAAGTCTATTATAGCTAGTTTGCCAAGCCAATGTCCAAAGTAGGACTTTGCGTTGCATCTGTTTGCTCTGTGTCTTTTAGTAGGACAGTTCTTCTTTTTGTGGTACTGATTTATTAAAAGGATCCGCAAATTATCCCTCCTTCTGTATTTTTCTGGTTTCCTTATGGTGTCATTCAGCTTTTCTTTTTTCCTTCAGTATTCTTGTAAGCTGAAAGATAAATCTAAAAACTTGAAGGATTCAAGTTAAAAGTTTCTGGCTATGATGTCTCATAAGTGAAACTTTCATATAATTTATTATCCAAACTGGAACACTTTTTGATAGTGAAAGGGAGTGTTAATAATTACACCAGGACTTTTCCAGGCAACCCAGCATGATATAATCACTCAGATAATTGGTGATGTTTGATATTTCCTGTTGAATTATATCAGAGGACACTTAATATCTGATTAGCCCCCCATTTGTTATTTTAATTGATTTTGGGATTAGAGTAATAACAGTCTTATTCTTCCCATGTCTGATTATATTTTATCATTGCTAAATTGTAATCTATCACGTGTGGGTTTCTTTGTCATTATATCTATATCCGTTTCTCACCAACCATTTGTACAACAATTTTAGCAGCAATTGATAATCCTTGCTAGAATTAATAGTTTTATTAGGGTTTGCACAGTGGTGTCTTTAATTCTGAAAATAAACTTCTATCAGTGGGGCTTGTTTTTATTATCTTGACATACAGAAAGAAAGGATGACTTTTAATTACTGGTTTTCAAAGTAAGTTGCTGATAAGCTTATTTTTATGTTTAGGCTTTTGCAGCCCAGGAAGACTTGGAAAAGACCAAAGAAGAGTTAAAGACTGTGATGTCTGCCCCGCCTCCGCCTCCACCACCACCAGTCATTCCTCCGACCGAAAATGAACATGACGAGCATGATGAGAATAACGCCGAGGCTAGCGCTGAATTATCAAATGATGGGGTAATGAACCATAGAAGTGAGGAGGAACGTGTGACAGAAACACAGAAAAATGAACGTGTTAAAAAGCAACTTCAGGTATTGAACTTTGCAGTTTGTATGCACGTTTAAATATAGTTTGCATTTCCCCCATTTGTTAAGACAAACTTAACTAAAAAGGAATACTTGATCTTTGGAAACCTTTAGCTCTAACTGGCCTTGTGATTGGTTTGTAAGTGCTTGGCCTACACACATATTATTTTTTCCGTTTTATGTCCTTGTTACCAGATGTTTGTTAGCCTTGTGTGGAGACCTTAATTAGTAAGTTATTATTTAATTATAGCTTTTAACTATAGTTAATTATAGTTAAAAAGTAGAACATAATGTTAATACTGTGTTTAAGAAACAAATTTTGTTTTTAAACAGTATACATATAAAGCAATGATAATTTAATAGACTACCTGTAAGACATTACAGAATCTAAATTTTTTGTTCGGATTTTGTAATGGCAAAAGATCAGCTTATTAAATGTACATAATTAGGTCAAAATAGTAAATTTTAGTATTACTATACCCATTGGAGAACTTACTAAAATAAGTTCTCTAATTTTTAAATTGTGAAATCTTTAAATATTAATAAGGAAAATGAGGTGATAGTGGTACTAATATCCTTTTGGAGAAAGTTTCTCTCGTGGTATAGATTTTAGATCTTATGGTAATACCAACCATAATGGCTACATTGAACCTTTCTAAGTCATTTCAAGTATTAGATGATAAGGTTAAGGAAATTTAAAATAACACACAAATCATCATAGTTGCAGAGTATAGAAATGAAAGGTCATGGGTATTCCTCTCAAGTACTACCTCCCGCTATTACTTAAAGTACAACAAACAATTTAAAGAAAAAGATTTCACAGTGGAAATTTTAATGTAGTACAAAGTCAAAGATGTGTTATGTATGTATTTCTGTCTTTAAACCTTTTCCATAGATTTTTTTTTTTTAAATCTAAGAAAATAATAGTAGTCATACTCTTTATTTTTTAAACAGGCGTTAAGTTCAGAATTAGCCCAAGCCAGAGATGAAACCAAGAAAACACAAAATGATGTTCTTCATGCTGAGAATGTTAAAGCAGGCCGTGATAAGTACAAGACTCTGCGACAGATTCGGCAAGGCAATACAAAGCAACGTATTGATGAGTTTGAAGCAATGTGAGAGCTGTTATTTTGCATACATGTTCTTCATAAGCTGAACCACCAACAGAGAAAAGCAGGCCTTTGCGGATGTGATGGAATGCATCCCACCTTGCCAAAGCACTTACACCAGTTTGACTGTGGTGGCTAAAAGACATTTAAGGGGAGCTTTTCAACATTAAGGCAGTGTGATACCATGCTTGATTTTCTTTTTCTTTTGGGCCAGGGAATGAAGAACAGTGCTCCATCACCACCTTTTTCACATTTTTCATTTTCCGCTTTTATTTTATTTCTGTTGAGGATTAATACTAATTATCATGTCTGACAAATGTGTGTGTATGATTTAAGCACTTTGTTCATTTTACAGGATGATGGTGACGTAATGAGTGTTTAGGTAGAGCACTCTTTCCTTCTCCTTCCGTATTTTAGCTGCATGTATTTCCACATTCTCTCTCATTCACGTTTTCTCAGTGTGTACTTTTCATACCTTAACATGCCCTCTAACCATAGCACTGCATGTTTTAATCATTGGCAGTGATTAAAATAAGCATAGGTGAAAAGTCTTTCATAATTGTGTAGAAGATGGCTATGAATCATGAAAAGGATTAGGAAGTTTAATAGTGTAGTGTACAGCTTGTGGTTAATTTTTTAAATCTCAATTTAAAACATTATTGGATTTTTTAAAATTACAGTCCTCTTTGACAGAGCTGGATTGATTGGTGTTTCATCTCCTGTCATCCTTTGGTTTTCTTTGCCCACTGATTTCACAAAGGTATAGACAGCAGGTAGTAAGTGGTTCCCTAGGAAAGTTTATTGATGAAACACTACTGCAAATAACAGTTGTCTCTGAAATATTTCATAGATTGATTTAGAAAAACAGATATTTAATAAAAGAAATTATGCATTTGTTGGTAATTGATTGTCATCTTTAAAAAAAAACCCTGGACCTTTCTGGAAGGGCAGTGTATGAAAACATCAGTCCCAAGGAGGGGACAGTAATACTACCTCACTACTATACCTGCAGTGACTGGTCATTCAAACATAGTGAAATGTGTAAGCTATATGTTTTATAATACATAGAGATACTTTCCATCATAAAGGAACATTTTTGAGATTTCTTTTCCTTCAGAATATCTTAAGAGTGCTAAATTTTAACTGCCTTTTTGTTGAACTGAACTGTGGGACTCTGATTTGTATTAAAATTGTAAGCTCTCACTGGTATACTATCTTCTGGAAGGGTGTTGTATATCTGAGGAAGTGTGTATGTGTGTGTGAATGTGTGAGAGAGAGGTTGCTCTTGTAGCATACGATGAATGTCTGTACCTTCATTCTTGATGTAATTATTACATAATCATTTTAGCATATTTGGTTTCTAAATCATTGTGCTTATTTTTTTCAGTCTCTAAAGATACTTAAATTTGGTTAGTTAATTGTATTTTAGAAGTTATAATTTTAGGTTATATTAATTTCATTTATGTTTTACAAAGAAATCTTTCCAGTTTAAAAGATGTTGAATATTCACATGTTCTAACATTTTATTTACTGTAAAACACCTAGATTTGGAGATAAGGAAAGCCTTGTTTTCTCTGTGTGGTTCAGCTACTTTCCATCTGGTATTATGCGTTCAAATTTACATTTATCTATTAAAATTGCCATTTTGTTAGACATTTTTCATGCACAATAGATTTAAGTTGTGTCTGAAAGTATCTCTTGTGCTTTTTTGATTTTGCTGACTTTAAAAGGATTAATCTGGGCAGACATTATGAAGAGGAAAGGTTGCATTTAATATATTTTTTGGATTGAGTAGGACAAAAAATAACTGGTTAACCTTGAAGTGACTGTTGTACAGTGGTTGTGCACATCCTTCAAAACACTGTGGAAGAGGATGCTTCTTGCAGCACATGAGAGGAATAGATGGTGAGCCCTGCTATTCATGGTTTAAAGCATGTGTTCACTTCAAAGCATTAAACAGTTGCCATAATAGGTGAAAATTTGGATTTCTATTGGATTTTTATTAATTTGCTTCATTTTGAATTGTGTGCACTACCATTCCTACTTCAGTTTGATATCAGTGTTGAAAAATTACCAGTTATATTTGCTGTTTATAATCTATTTGTAGATTAGGATTAAAATGGATTTAATCCATTTTTAAAGCTGTGTGAATTTTTCTAAACAGGAACAACTATTTGCAATATGGGATTTCATTAAACCAATTATAACTTTTATTATTAGCAGTTGAGAAGCACATGTTCATATAGCAATGTAAAAATATATTAATGAGTATTTGGTAAATTCCAACAGGCTTTTCCCATGAGCATAATTTTGTGTTGTACAATTAAGTTACATTACATCTATAATTTTGGATAACATTCATTGATTAACAATAAAGTGACAAAAGCTCATGCCTTCACAGTTCACTGTTGTTATTTAACATGGATTTCTTACATATATTTCCTGAAAATTATAATCTCTAATAGATCTGTAAATTATTATATTTTTAAAATGAGAAGTGAATAGGAAAAAGTTTAAAATCCTCATACATTTACTCTTTCCCCAAAATTATATATCTCTTTTGGTATGAAAGTAATATTGATTGTTAATTTTCTGGAGAAATTAAATTATTAAAAATCAGCCCTCTTCCTAATAGAATATCATATAAGATTTCTAGTCATTGCTCTTATTGTATAGTGAGTGTTTAGTTTTCCTAAGGAAGAAATAATTTCATTGTCATTGATTAATCTCACTGTTAAAATGTTAATTTTTTTAAAGAGCTATATACTAAGTGCTTCTTAAAAATCATAAAGATTATTCCTAAAGAAACAAGTGATAAATCTATTCTAAGAAAAATAAAAGCCAGGTGTCTTCTCAGTTTGTAATAATATTTGTCACTTTATTATTTCTACTCTCAAAAACAGGTAGTGATCTCTTTATTCTGATCCTGTTAGAAAATAAAAGAAAGAGGAATTTTGTGTTACAAGATTTTGCTTTTTATCTGAGTAGAGTTTTTCTCTTAGAACTAGAATTAGCACTTAGAAAGTTATCTTAGACTGATTAGAACTCACTCCTGGTTATCATTAGAAAAGAGTTCCAATGTTATGATTAAAAATACCATTACTTTCTGTCTCAGCTCTTGTAACCTGTTGATTGGTGATATTTTAGACTTGAAGGTAAAAAGATTTTTTAGGTCCCAAAGCATCCCATTTTATGTATGCATGCATAATGAAAGTAATTAGTCTTTTTGAAATCTAAAACTTTAAAGTATAGGGATTATTGCCTTTAGCATTAATTTACTGATTAGTAAACCAGAGCTTAGATATCTGTCTGTCATAACGGGAAACATTAAATATGGAACTACACTGATAGTTCTCTCTTGTTTGTTCTAAATAAATAGAACTTTAGCTGTTCTTATTCTGTACTTTATTCTTTTTTTTTTAACTAGAAGGTAATCTATTAAATATTCCAGTGTGTTTATCATGTAGAATGACAAACATTCTACTACATTTTAAAAGCACTGTGGATTTAGCAGATAGCATAACTTCATAAATCGTCAAGGCAATACGACTCCTCACGTATTACACTGTTAGCAAGGAAAAATTGGCCTACCATGTATTAAAGCCTGTCATCTTCTCATCCCTGGCTTTTCCAATTAATTTTAACTCCCCTTGATTCCTAGTGGACCTATTTCTTAATGTCTCCATCTTAGAGATTTTAAGAGTTGCCATTTTCCCTCTGGAAAGATGATGACTTCTTTGCTGCCTCAATATTTCAACCTCCCTTAAACTGTGATAACAAAAGTTTTCTGATTTGAGGTTACATATGCTGCTTTAGGGGATTCCCTGATAGCTCAGTTGGTAAGGAGTCTTCCTGCAATTCAGGAGACCCCAGTTCGATCCCTGGGTCGGGAAGATCTGCTGGAGAAGGGATAGGCTACCCACTCTAGTATTCTTGGGCTTGGCTTGTGGCTCAGCTGGTAAAGAATCCGCTGGCAATGCGGGAGACCTGCGTTCGATACCTGGGTCGGGAAGATCCCCTGGAGAAGGGAATAGCTACCCACTCCAGTATTCTGATCCGGAGAATTCCCTGGACTGTATAGTCCATGGGGTTGCAAAGAATCAGACATGACTGAGTGACTTTCACTTTCATGCTGCCTTAGGAGTTGAAATATTCTTTATTTTTTCTTACAGAATTTTAGGGTTAAAGATTATGACTAGGATAATTACCCTATGGCATGTCTTTCAATTCAAGCTTATGTTTGGCTATGGAGTTCCCTAGCTACTAAACAGTTCCAGGTTCTTAAATGCCCTTCGTCTAGCGATGAACTGAGGCAGCTTAGCACACACACACATTTAGCCAATACACTTTTATTCAGTATGTTGTTATATTCTAGGATATAGAAGTATGATTAGAATGACTGTGACCCATTGTTTTGGACTCTCTTGAAGTGTGAAAACTCAAATATTTATCTTATCTCTTGGATCATTTGCAATAATCTGTTATAATACTAAATTTCTTTTAAGATGGCAACACCATTTTATTGATTCATGGTATTTGTATGCCCAGATTCCTCCATGCTTATATCTAGTCAGTTGCTTCCATTCTTGTAGTTTATTACTGTTTTAATTGTTCAGTTTTATTTAATGAACATTTTTAAAATTTAGGTTTGCTTTGATAATCATGCATGTCATTGAGTTTGCTCCTAAAAGTAGTTGACTGGTATTGTTTATCTTTAATTAAGTCTATATAGCCAAATGTCCATTTTCTTAGTGGTAACATGGGATCAGAATTTCTGAGATTTATGTAATAATCCTTGGGGAAATTCCTTTTGATAAAATATGGATTTATTATATCAAAGCCTTCTAGCACTGTATTATAATGTATGCCATTATATCTCATTTGTGACTTAAAGAGATGTTTTATATTATAGACCTAAAAATGCATGAATGTCTTAGACTCATAGGGCAACACTACCTCCTTCCTCTCTTTCCTTTTGTTTATACTCTAAAATCTATGTAATTCAG